GGGACGGAGATCTTTACCTTTAAGCCTGCGGAAAAAAAAAAACCAAAACAGAATAAAAGAGCTGGGGAAGAGGAGCCCGCAGAGCAGCCAGGTCAGGCTGCTTACGTTGAAGTCGCCTACCGCTGACATTGCCATCACCATCTTTATTCTTCCACTTCTTGTTTAAAATTTCCATATGAAACCACGTTTAAATTTAGAAATGTTTCTTCCTAACAAAAAGATTGCACGGTTTAATTCTGGAAACAAAAAAAACGTTTCTGTGTTCAGAACACCTCCGTGCTTTCAGCTTGCATGGATCTGCGGGATGGAGCGCCAGCTCTGATCCCCCAGAAATCCTGGGGTTCCCTCCAGGTGTTACTGACACAAGCCGGGCACCCCCAGCTTTGAGAGCAAACCCCCCCGCTGCCGCAGAGCCACTGCAGCAGTCCAGCCGGCGCTGAGGCAGCAGGCGACGCGCTTTGTTGCCTTTCAGTTATAGTTTCTCCATGTATTTGTAGACACAACCATGCAGAAAATCACCGGCTTTAATATCCCACTTGTTAGCGGGGAGTGATTCGTTTCTGCCTCCAGGCTGACACTTCCCAACCTTCTGCTTTTATTTTCTCATTCCCAGGTTCAGGCTCGTGGCGTAATGCTGCTGATCATCACTCACCCTGAGATGCCTTTGATGGGTTTGGCGTTTGGCTTTTTTTTTGCAGCTTCCTCTGCCATTTTCTGCAGAACATCACTCTCGTTCAGAGCAGTGGAGACCGCTGGAAGATTTGCACAGGACGAGGAGTTTAGCACAAACCCCCCAGAGAGGACCCTGTGCCGGAGGGTGAGGGGGCTCAGCACTCACCACCGAACCCTACAGAACATCATTATTGACATATTCCCATTCCAACACACGCAGGCACCATCAGGACGCTTCAAGGGCTGTAAATTTGGATTATCAGCAACCTTTGCCGTCCCTGGGTGATGGCCGGAGCTCGGCAGGCGCGTGCTGCCCAGGCGTGGCAATTGCAGATAGGAGACAGTGGGCGCATGTCCAGGATCCCCACGGCACCGCTGCCTGCTTGTCTGCACAGGCCGACAGACTCATGTCCACGCGTGGACGCTAACGTGGCTGAGCACTCACCGTGGTCGATCGTTCCAAGGTCGATCCTGATGACAGCTCCCGGACCAGCAGCTCCGCCTGACCACGCCAGCCAGCCACCAAGGAGTAAAATGCACCAAATCCCTGACATCTCCCGATCCGGTGTGGCTGCTCACAGAGCTCCAGAGGCTTACGGGAGCGTGTGGGCTTCAACAGACAGAGAGAGACAATGAGCTGGAGGTGATTCCCAAACCACACGTCAGGGGCTAAACACCGTCCTCTTGTTACAGGAAAGCGAGCAGGGTTCCACGCAAGTCCGGCAGAGCCAAAACACTGCCTCAATGCAAGAATTGCTCCCCAAAATTCAGACGTCTGAACACCCTAGAGCAGCCCCACCAGGACATGTCTGTGTCCTGCACCACCCATGCCATGGTCGGTACCCAAGTGGGGTGCTGATCTTTCCTCTCCCACAAGCACCAGAGTGGCTCAGGATGCCTAAAACCTGCCGCAGAGAAAGGGCTGGAGCTGCCTGATGGAGCACATGGCCGGCTGGATCTCAGGGCCACCCTGAGCCCCGGCCACCGGAGCAGCAGGCGCCCCCAACGCCGG